AAAAAAAAATCCAAAACAAAAAGCCAGGTGGTGGTGGTACATGCCCTTAATCCCAGCACTTGGGAGGCAGAGGCAGGTGGATCTCTGTGAGTTCAAGACCAGCCTGGTCTACAGAGTGAGATCTAGGACAGCCAGGGTTACACAGAGAAACTTTGTCTCGAAAACCTGACCAAAACAACAACAAAACAAAAAAACAACCTGAAAATGTGTGTTGTATACACGTTCAGAGGAAGACCTTTCTAAACAGAAACTCTATTTCCAATATAAAATAAATCTAGTTATTATGCATAAGCAAGCAATCCCAAATTAAAATTTGTAATATAAATACTACTAATGGACTTGACTTTATTTCAACCAACCACAGTAAGCAGATGTGCACATCTGATGAATTATTTAGAAAAGCATAATGAATAAACACCAATGTAGCAATGCCAAAGCATTAGGACAGTTAAAAATGAGTAAGATGCAATAGAAACATATTTGCTATTTCTCTTCAATTTAGAAAGCTATGGGGCTTTTACTGGGTTTTGTCTGTTTGTTTTGTGGGGCCTTTACAATGCTAGGCAAGTACTGTAATACTGAAGGGACATTCCTAGTCCTAAAGATAGGCATTTACGATTCTTTAAAAAAGGAAACTTTCTTCTTCACCGCCACATGCAGCAAGTTCTCTGTGCATTTGACTTGGGGTCTTTTCCCCAGAAAGTCGGCTTGCTCTGGGAATGATAGGGCAGAGCTAGGATCAGCGCTCTAAGTCTGTAACTAATACACAGAGTAAGGACATTTCCCCCACAGAGCAAAAGAAACCTAAACAAAGTTCAACAAAGCCAAGAAAAATGTGGAGCTAGCTGAAGTTTCAATTAGTGATGGAGCCTATAATATACATACTGCCTCAGAGACACCAAGGACACCACGAAAACAGTTAAAGAGAAAAAACTTAGAGATCCAGGTAAGTTTCCTACGTGGCCTGACTTCATGGAAAACCGTGAGGAAAGGACACGGGAGGATGTAAGCGACGGTGGTGTAAGAACGGCACAAAGCAGGAACGAGCCAAAGCTCAGCTCCAGGAAACAGCATACCACAAAGGAAGGCAGTGTAATCAGCATCGACACTTGACTCAGCGGAGACACAAACAGCACACAGGCAAGGAGAGCGTGCTGCTCCCATTGTCTACAAGTGAGGACCCAGGAGAGAGGACAGCACAGACGCGTCCTTTAGGAACACAAACGTGCCATCGGAGGACAAGAACAGAGGGGGACACGAGGCTGGGGACTGCTGCTGAGGTCATTGTAGGTGCCTGGTGGCACTGTCTGCCTCTGACACTCTTCTCATATATCATTTTGAAAAATGTTCAAAAACATATGGAGCAAAACACTTAAGAGACTACACATCCTCTTCTTATCCCATAGGGCGCCTGCAGATGTCTAAATCATATACACTTCACTATGCTACCTGCAGAGTTCTTCCAGATGGAGAGAATTCTTCCCAAGGTTGGGACCCTTTTCAGGGGGTCTGTTTAGACAATGGATACAGAAAGGTACAGCGTTGGGGCTTGGGAGATGCACAGTTGAGAAGGAGCTGGAGGCACAGGCGTGAGGACCGAGCTGGATCTCAACCCATGCCGAAACGGACACAGCCCCGGTCCACCTACACACACACACGACTTCAACACTGCACTCCAGCCCCGATCCACCTACACAACTTCAACACTGCACTCCAGCCCTGATCCACCTACACACACAACTTCAACACTGCACTCCATCCCCGATCCACCTACACACACAGCTTCAACACTGCACTTCATCCCCGATCCACCTACACAACTTCAACACTGCACTCCCCCCCACACAAAGATGGAGAGGAAAGACAGGAGGAGGGAAGTGAGAGAGAAAAGTGGGGTGGGAGCTTGGCCTAGGAGCATGCACGTGCAACCCCAGAACTGAGAAGACAGGTGAATGCCTGCAGTTCCCTGGCTAGCAAGTCCAGTCTCATCAGTGAGCTCCAAGCCACTGAGAGGGCTGCCTCAAAAAGCAAGGTGAACAGCTCCCAGAGAATGACATCTGAGGTTGACCTCTGACCTTTACATCCATGTGTTCAAACGTGTGCACAGACACAAGTACCCACACAAACATGCCTCCACACATTACTACACAAAATTTTTAAAAAGGGCATTAACATTTAGGTAGTAAATTATAAAATATGAATAGTAGACTAGTTTTTGACTTAAATAATGCTTTCATTAAATAAGATGTGAAGAAATAAGTGATCAAAGAAAGGCTAGTTAGGGAATCTGGTAAAAATGTAGTACAGCTGTCCCTTGGTGTCTAGCACCTGGTTCCACGGATTACATGGATACAAGCGTCCGTGATGCTTTAGTCTTCAATGAGATGGCAGAGTGTCTGTACACAGCCTACACCTTTAAATTGTCACAGTCGTTACTTCTCCAGTCACCACACTGTAACCCTGATGTAACCACTGCTTAGGGAAGGAGGCCAATGGCGGAGGCCTCTGCATGTTCGAGCTCGGGTGCAGCTACTGTTGGGTAAGCACAGTGTCAATCTGTGGATGGCTGAACGCAGCTGGGTAACCTACAGACACGAAGAACTGACTAGCTATCTTTCCTCCGGGGAAATGAATCAGCAGTGGTAAGAAGTCAGGCAACTGAGAGGGATTTACTCTCTATCTCAGGCCAAGAAATACACGAGGAGCTCTCTGTAGTTACTTAATTTGATCCCTGCGAAGGCTGAAGATGAGGAGTAGATTTTTAAGTTACACAGGTAAACATGATTAAAACAGAAATTAATGAAATTGAACAGCACAAAGTTGTACGTAATTCAGACCGTTTATAAAATTTTCTTTTGGTCTGTAGTTGCCTGGCATCTGTGGAGCCGAGGGGGTGGGTGGGGTGGGGTGGGGGGCGAGGGAAGAATTAAAGGAAAACCTTTCTTTCATTTGTTCTTCAAAGGTCGCTAACTCCCCCAGGTATGGAAGCACACCTTCAGCCCACCAGATTATGATCTTTGCGGTCATTTCACTGTAACCAGCAAGTCTCACTTACTTGACTGGGGCAGGAGCACCGGCGCAAAGATGGTGTTGCTGCCTAGGAGAAAGAGCAACTTCATTTCAATAGAAAGCTAACACGGATCATCTTGTTTAGATACTTTCACTTTAAAAATGCACTAGTGCACGCCTTTAATCCCAGCACTGGGGAGACAGAAGCAGATGGATCTCTGTGAGTATGAGGTCAGCCTGGTCTACATAGTGAGGACAGCTAGGGTTATGTAGAGAGACCCTGTCTCAACACCACCACTCCCCCCAAAAGTGAAGTGCACTACACAAACCCACAAAACTCTAGCACCATCTTCTGACATGCTGGTTGTAACATGAACTTAATGCTCACTGTGCCTAGAGTGATGCTCCTTCTGTAGACTAAGTGGATTCTTCTCTATCATAATCCTTTTTATTTCTTTTATAGAATTTGTCATTGTTTTATTACCCATTACTCCAAAAGTAATAAAAACCTTTGTTATCTAATAAACTGAACATACATTCACACACTGCATTAGGTGATGCTTTGCTCCTTATATTAAGCTCTATTTTCACACTGAGACATCACTTTCCATACCAACACAGTATCTTAATTTTGTTTCCTGTTGCTGTGATAAAGCACCTTGACAAAAGCCACTCAGATGAGAAAGGGCTTATTTTAGCTCACAGTTCCAGGTTCCAGTCCATAATCAAGAACAAAGAGCAGTGATTATATGCACGCTCGTGTTCAACTCACTTTCTTTTTTTTTCTAAGAGAAAGTATAGCCCAATGTAGTCCTGGCAGGCTTGAAACTTGTTATGTAGGCCAGGCTGGCCTTAAACTTAGAGATCCACCTGCCTCTGCCTCCTGAGCACTAGACTAAAGGTATATATCAAGACGGCTCACAGCCACTCTTACGTAGTTCAGGATCCCTGCTTAAGGAATGGTGCCAGCTCAATTTATGTCATCAAGAGAGACCCCCACAGACTTGCTCACAGGCCAACCTAACCTAGACACTCCCTCAGGAAGCCTCTTTCCAGGTGACTCTAGATCATGTCAAGTTGACAATTAAAACTAACCAGCACACAGTAACACCGAGAGGGTTCTACAGCTCTCCCAACTGGAAAGAAGAAACGACTGACTTAAGACACCAAGTCGTCTTCTTACCAAGAGGTTTGTGTTAGATACTCACCACAGGAACTGTTGAGATCCATGTCTAGAAACACGCTGTGGTCGGAGGAGGCAGACACAGGGGGAGTGGACGGCGTGTTTGGAGAGGTGGGGGCTGACACTGTTGATTCGAGCTCAGTCTCGGTAATCCTACTAAAGCTTATCTTGTACGGCTCTCTCTCCAAAGGTGTGGGGTGACCTCGCAATGTGCCTGAGGTGGAGCCGTGCCGGCCTGTATTAGGCCTTATTCCAGGAGACTTTAAGGAAAAGGTTGATTTCCTAGGCTAGGAAAAGTAAATAGGTATGGTTAAAATAGCACTCATTTGTATGAAATTTGTTTATAACTTACAGCTATCTTATTTTTAAGCACACTCTTTAAAGGGTATGATAAAAACCACAATCTTCAAGGGCAGCCTGGGGCATTTTTATAGTAATTTCCAGACTTGATTAGATTGTTTATCGTGGGCTCCATAAGTAAATCTTTTTTTGTTTGTTGTTTTGTTTTTCGAGACAGGGTTCTCTGTGTAGCTTTGCGCCTTTCCTGGAACTCACTTGGTAGCCCAGGCTGGCCTCAAACTCACAGAGATCCGCCTGCCTAAATTCTTGAAAATTGTTTAAACAACTGTGTAAACAACTTTTTTTGCTCCTAAATATTTGATCCTAAATTTCTCTTTCACACCAACACCATCTATATGTTAATTTTACAAACATTTACTGGGGAACATAATTTATGTGACATAGTATGCTATATGTGTCTCATTTTTTAAATTGTATGTGAATGGGTGTTTTGCCTGCGTGTATGTATGTGTAACATGCACATGCCTGGTGCCTGTGGAGGCCAGGAGAAGGCATCAGATCCTGTGGAACTGAAGTTATAGGCAGCTGTGAGCTGCCATGTGGGTGCTGGGAACTGAATCCAGGTCCTCTGCATGAGCAAACAGTGATGTTAACCACTGAGCCATCTCTCCAGCCCCGGTGTGCTTTATGTTCCTTCTGACCTAAGAAGCTAATGAACAACCCCTGTCAGGACGCTTTAACTTCAGAACAATGAACTATCATTGTTCCCACTCTAAACCTCAACAGCAGTGACCTAATGAAAAGACAGAATTCTGAGTCAGAAAAACTGAGTCAAAACTCAGCTGGGTCAACTACCTAGCCATGTGGTCCTAAGAAGGCTAGTTTACCTTGCTGAGCCTCAGTTTTTTAAAAATTCATTTTTTATTACATTTAATTGTGCGTGCGTGCGTGCGTGCGTGCGTGCGTGCGTGAGTGTGTGTCTGTGCGTGTGTGCGTGAGTGTGTGTCTGTGCGTGTGTGCGTGTTCAGGTGCCCGTGGAGACTATAGGTGTTGCAAATGCAAGAGGAGCAGTAAAGTCTAAAGAGCTCCAAGGCAGCCCGAGTCCCTAGCTGAGGCCTGCATCCACAGAGGACAGAGGCATCACCTTCCCAGTGCTTGGTCACTGACTTTGACTGAGAACCTTCTGGGGACTCAATAAATCAAAGAGGCTCCGGGCACATGGCTGAGGAGAGAGAACTTGGTCTTCTTACACTAAGGGAATCCAACAAGGCTTTACAGCAGTTTTTCTCAACCTGTAGGTCATGACCCCTTTGGGGGGTCAAACAACCCTTTCACAGAGGTCACTTAAGACCATCAGAAAATATAGATGTTTACACTATGATTCATAACAGTAGCAAAATTACAGTTATGAAGTAGCAATGAGAACAGTTTGATGGCTGGAGTCTCCAGCATCAGGAAGGCTGAGAACCACTGTTCGAATTGTTTTTATTTCCTTCCACACCTTGTTAAGGTTGGTTTTCCTCTCTTGCTGTTGCACCTGCAAATCTCCAGAGTAACTGTGAATGGCAGCAGCAGATTCTAGTAAGAAAAAGTGCTCCACTGTGACCACAGGACTCTAAGGGCAGGAGCCACAGTCATGCTAGAGGTACCATGATACATCCACTTACTCCTTCCCTGGCCTGCCTCCCTCCCTCCCTCCCTCCCTCTGTCCCTTCCTCCCTCCATTCTTTCCTTCTTTCCTTCCCTCCTTTCTTTCTTTTTTTCTGAACAGCATTTCTCTGTGTAGTCTTGGTGCCTGTCCTGGAACTCGCTCTGTAGACCAGGCTGGCCTCGAACTCACAGAGATCTGCCTGGCTCTGCCTCCCGAGGGCTGGGATTAAAAGTGTGCGCCACCACCACCCAGCTCAGCTACCTACTTTTGGGCCTCACTTTCTTGTAACTTTGCTCTTAAATCAGGAGGTAAAAAAATGGACAGATAAATAAAGGATATTAAAATGAAGGATACTTTACTGCATGTGGACCTAGTTTCTACATCCAATACTATTTTTAAAAAATCCAGTTCCTACCAAAAGGGTCTCCTGTGTGGGAGGCAAGTGCTCATGTCTGAGTCCCACCCACCTTTATACATAATTTTAGAAACAGAGTAGTGCTGTAGAGTAAAACTACAAACCAGCCATTGATTACATAACAATTTTGAGAACAGGTTGTTAAACACTGAAAATATTATTTTTAAAAATAGAAAAGTTAGCCGGGCGGTGGTGGCGCACGCCTTTAATCCCAGCACTCGGGAGGCAGAGGCAGGCGGATCTCTGTGAGTTCGAGGCCAGCCTGGTCTCCAAAGCGAGTTCCAGGAAAGGCGCAAAGCTACACAGAGAAACCCTGTCTCGAAAAACCAAAAAAAAAAAAAAAAGAAAAGTTTCCCATAATTATAATGAACTTACAAATCGAGGTGGTTGTTTGCAGTTTCGGGGTTCAATTTCTAGCGATTTGTTGAACAAATAATCTGTAAACTCCTTTTCAGATAGAATCCCCATGGGGTTAAGGTTTTCAAAGAATCTCTAGAATTAAACACAGAAATATGTGTTCATACCTTTGGTCTTCCTAGAGTAAGATCCTGCTAACATTAGCACTAAAACAAGTGAAGACATCACAGTACTTGGTAGTCACAGAGATTGTTCATTCTACTCTCTACTTACGACCAACACTACATACAATTCTGAGGAGGTTCCATCCTAGCCACAGAGTCTCAGCTCAGTCTTTAGCATCACTTGTCTCTTACATTCCCCCTCACTATGATAGCAAAGCTACCGCCATTCGTCTCCCAACAGAATTCACAATGGAGAGTATGATGAAAACCACAGCAGGATGTTGATAAGCAGGGAAAAATGTGGAGATAACTGGACTAAGGTATATTCAAAAGTAAATTAAAAGATAATTACAGCTTTAAACTTTTCTGTGTTACCCTGTAAGGCCAAACCACTGTGTTTATCCAAAAATATTGACTACAAATATATATTCTAAACTTAAATTTAAGTTTCTAAGTAGAAAATTGAGATGAGTTAGTAAAATGCCAAAAAACTACATACATGTGCGCGTGCGCACATATGAGTGTGGGTGCATGTGGGTGCGTGTGGGTCCCCTGGAGCTGGAGTTGCAGGAAGATGTGAGCTGCTTGATGTGGGAGCTGGGGACTGAACTCTGGCCTCTGAAAGTACAGTGCATGCTCTTAAATGCTGAGTCATCTCTTTAGTTCTGCATCTTAGTCTTCAACTATGAAATGATGAAATGATCTGAGTTACAGTTGGGCTTGGGATGTAGCTCACATGGGAAAGCCAGCAAAAAGGAAAGAGTTACTTCACTAACCAGAGACTTCCCTGCTTCTGGTTTAGTACTGGAGTATCTAGTGACCTGCCTTTACCATCTGTGGGACTACAGTAATCATCTAACAGATGTTCCAGGACTGATTTCACTAATCTCCATCAGTCATTCAAACGGGTATTTTCTAATTCATTGTTATGCTAATAACTATAAACTCTTTGTGCACAAATTTTTCACTACATTTTTCCTATGCTTTCTTTAAAAAAAAATAAGCACTAGAATTTAATTACTGGATTTAGCTTAACTTAATTTTTTTTTGAGACAGAGTCTCAAAATAAAATCCCAGGCTGCTTTGAACTTGTGATCCTCCTGCCTCAGTATCACAAGTGTTGGAATCACAGGCATGTATCACTATGCCCAGCTGGCTAGCTTTATTGAATTTTACATGGTTAGGAGCACATGTAACAACAGACACTGGGTTTTAACTTTAGCAGTAGGTAAAATGCCTTAAATTTTCTATATAAAATCCTTCCCGTTCTTCAGGCATTCTACAAATGTCAGAAACATTATTGCTTTAACATATATTCCTTCTTGAATTCAAGTTGGCTAAATTAAGATGCCATCAGGCAACAGTAATTGCATCCTCTATAAAGCTGTAACAGATGTACTCTTGATTTCCCCAACCTTTGCTTTATTTTTCAGTATTATTTAAATTGGTTAACTGTGGCTTGAAAAGTGAATGCCTAAGTTACTTATTTATTTAGAGACAGGGACTTACGTTGCCTAGGCTGCCTCTATCTATCAGGAGATGGTCCTGAACTCCTAATCCTCCGGCTACTACCTCTCAAGTAAATTTAAATTTTAATTTTAAATTTATTTTGACTCCATTCTAAGGAAGGCAGATTTTCTCTGAATGATGGTAAGAAGTCTAGAGAAGATCAAAGAAACATCCTAGCCGATGTTTCTGAGCCATGAATGACAAACATGTATTTCAAGTGTACTCAACTACAGTACAACATAATTTCTATGGGAAATGCATTGCAGACTGGAATCTAGGCTTCAAAGAAGCTCTGCATTTTCTTAGTTGTCTGCTTCAGTCTAAAGCTTGGTACAGCCGTCAATGTGAGGAGTGACTGATAGTTACAATGTGACTAGTGATTGATAGTTACAATGTAGCTACTGACTAATAGGCACAACATGACTAGCGACTGATAGTTACAATGTGGCTAGCGACTGATAGTTACAATGTGACTAGTGATTGATAGTTACAATGTGGCTATTGACTGATGTACAATGTGACTAGTGATTGATAGGTACAACCCGCTCTCAACCTCAAGCAAGTACAATACCATAAAACTCATCTACACAAACATGGTATTATAATTTACTCTCATTTAGAATTCATCCCATATTTTGTGGTATTATATAATCCATATTAAATATTATTACTCAAAATCAAACACGTGACAGAATGTAAAAAACAAACAAAAAACCCAACCACCTGTGATGCGTATATACCTAATAGTCTCCAACTCCTTTCCAGTGAGCTTAGGAAGGGATGGATCATTCTATGTTGTATTGGCACATGTATATGGAATATCTAAAATGGCAGTCACTCAGCAGCAGCGGGGTTTTATTCTATTCCCTTTGTCACTTTTTGGAAGAGCTGCTTGAACTGATGCACAAAGAAGCAACGCTCCCAGGAGAAAGTACTTGACATTAGTGAGTGCTGACATGCAGACACCTATATTTACATTGCTAGCTGAAGGTTAACTTACTTCCAAAAGCAAATAGGAGCATGGTGCATCACTGTGACATTTCTTAGCAATTACATGGGACTTAATGCCATCTTTATCAAAGACAATGAAGAAATATTTACCCTCATTTCGGGTTCAGTACGTAAGCAGTAAGGCTGGTTCTGATACTGCTGAATTTCTCCAGTAATTTCAGCCACTTTCCTCCTCTTACTGAAATTGATTAAATCTTTTCCTTTCCTCTTGAGAAAATCATTGTTCCCTTCTTCAGTCTTCAGAATATTTGTTAAATATATTCCTAGTTAAAAAATATGGAAAGTTATTTTAAGACTGATCTCATTTAATCAGTCATTTGGGAAGACAACTGGACTGGTAAAGCTGAAAGACACACTGCAGAACTCAGCAGTCCCACTTCTGAAGAGGCAAAAAGACAAAACTCCCAGAGCCAGAAGTGATTCTCTATTAACAATGTGTAACCCAGAGCTGAAAGAAAAAGAAAATGAAGACTATGTTTCACTAAAATCAAAGGCTGCTATTCTAAGAAATGGAAAACTAAGCATGCCAAAACCCTGTGGGCTAAAACTTCGTCTAATAAAATGTTGTGATATTTGATTTAAAAATATTTAATACCAATGACCTTTAAGTGACTATCAACAAATAAAGCAATTTTGTTTAAGAGCAGCGGGACAAACTGCTTCTTGGAGCACATCACTTAGACAGTAAAACAAGGTTCTAATCCCTTTTTATGCATAATTATGACACTTAAAATAGTGGTTCTTAGCTAAAGGCAATTTTGTTCTGCAGAGAATCATTGGAAATCTGTTTAAACATTTCTGGTCATTAGGAGTTTGGGGTACTACTGTTCTCCAGTACACAGGAGGCTGCTAAATGCGCTACAATGTGACTGACAGCCCTCCACAACAAACATTTTTTCCTCTTAACTTCAACCAATAGTGCTATGGTTAAAAAACTTTGATTTATATAAATCATCCAATTCCAATAGTGAAGTCAGTCATGTGCCACATAATTATATTTAAACTGTGGACAACATATACAAAATGGTACTGTAGATCACAGTAAAGGACTGTGGTAAAGCTCAGAGGTATAGTGTATGCTTAAAGACCAGACTCTACCCTAAATAAAAGGGGGCTGAAGACATTGCTGCAGTTGTTGTAGTATTACAGCACAATGTATGACTCGGTGTTCCTGGTGACTCTGTCATAGACAGACAGATTGCTGCTGACCCATCATATAAATATGCAGCAATATATCTAGGTCAGGTGAATAATATTTGGTAATCACAACAAAAGGTTATGTTAATGGCTTATGCGTTACTATGCTAGAGTTTTATCATTATTTCAGAGTGTAATTTTACTTGTAAGGAAAAAAGTCCACTGTAAAACGGCGTGCTGTGTCACGTGTTTACTGTGTCTCAAGCACACATTAAAAGCATGGCACAGGCTGGGCGGTAGTGGCACACGCCTTTAATCCCAGCACTTGGGAGGCAGAGCCAGGCAGATCTCTGTGAGTTTGAGGCCAGCCTGGTCTACAGAGTGAGTTCTAGGACAGTCACCAAAACTACATGGAGAAACCCTGTCTTGAAAAACAAAAAACAAACAAAAAGATTCTGTAAAAGCCCTTTTATAATAATTAAAAATAAAGATTGCAGATATGACACAGAAAAATAAAAATAATAGCTGCACTTCATTAAAGTCTTCACAAGACTGTGTTAACTACAGAAAAATATTTTAAATTCTTATAACAACTTTAAGATGCAATTATCTTGATCTTCAATATATAGACAAGGAAATATACATTTTTGCCTTTTATTTATCGATACAGACAAATAATAAATTCATATATATATATATATATATATAAACAACCTATCTAGAAAGACCCTGTCTCTTTTGGTTACAACACATTCATCTTTAAAATACAGTATTTATATTTAGTAACTTACCAAAAAAAGGCACACAAGGTGGATTGATTGATTTAAGTTTTACTAGGTATTTTTTAAAGTGATCCTGACTTAATTCCACAGCATCATCCAAAATTCTCCTCTTCCTTTCCTGCAATGCCTTTAAAACATATAAGCTGAATATAATTCTTCCATATAATTCAATCATATATAAAGATCCACAAGAATATATAACTTTAGAATTTATAAAATTTTGCAAATACTTAAAAATGATTTTTAAAAATTATGAGTCTTATTCTTTTGGAAACTGCTAAAATGAGTAATCCTGTTTTTTTTTTATCTATAAATATAAAAACTAAGATTTTGTGTTCTTTCTATATAAATTAGAAGATTAAGGAATAAAAAAGTCTCCCTCAGACCTTATTTGTTACCATTTTAATCTCCCAGGCATAAATTACAGGTCAGAAAGAAGAACTATGATCCTTCAGGACTAAATGTTCTTTGACTAAAAGGTTTTTTGAGGTTGAGGGCAAATCTTAGCAGTAAGAAAACTGTAGGAAGGTAAGAAAACTTGAAGAAAATCTAGTGAATGAAGTAAACATAGCTATTTGTTTTTATTTCATTACTACATTTTTCTTATTGGAAACAAAATAATTTATAATCCAATGAGGAGTTTAAGCACATATAAATAAACACAGACCACAGTAACATATACTTAGGAACCTTTATGTTTATTTCCTTTATATTAAGGAAAATACAAATGTGGCTATTTAATAAATAGCTCTCATTTAATATTCTACACAAGTCCCAGCCAACACCAACAAGGAACAACAACAAGACGCCAGGGAATACTATCATCTCCCAGAAGTCAAAATCCACTGCCCCTGGGGAAAACTGCCCAAATATATATGTTAATAGGAATGTTAATAGGAGAATTTAGCAATCTTGCTGTATATAAAAGTCAAACAAGACTCAATTGTATTTCCAGATATAAAAATTTTCACCAAAAAGGAAATCATAATTTTAAAAAAGATTCCAACATAGATAACAGTGACAGTGTCTGTCAGGAAACCATAAACAATATTAAATGGGATCAGATGGAGAGATACACCACATTCATGGTTAGGAGGGCTCATTACTATAGAACTGCCAGTCTTTCACAGTGACTTAGATCTAAACACAACTCGTACTAAATTCAAAATTTTTTTAAATGTAAAACTTAGGTTGATTTTAGGGTAATGGTACTTTAGACAAATAGCATAAGAAAAGTCAAATAGGTAAAAAAAAAAAAAATAGATGGGGCAGAAATAAACCCATACATAAGTCAATTTATGACAGAGCAGGCACAAGAGGGCGATGTGGGGGAAAATGAACTTGAGTAAATGTGTGAGAACAACTGAGCAGCATGCAGAACACAAATAAAGTCAGAGCTCACATCACTCTATACTCAAAATGAATTTCCAACTAAATTAAAGATCTTTTTGTTTTGTTGGAGATGGGGTTTCATTATACAGCAAAGGCTTGCCTTGAACTCTCAATCCTTCTGCTTTAGGCCTTGAGAGTCAGTAAGGATTTAATAGAGACAAAACACTAGACTAGGGCCTCAGAATCTGCTAAAGTGAACATCACAAAGCACAGCCACATGGTTCTGGCTTTAGAGTTAAGCACAGAAGAAAGGAGTTATGGGATGAAGCTGCCGAGGCCAGACATGTGTCAGGGGTGTCCCCGAACAGAGGCCTAGCAGAGAGGCCATTGTGTGAAGCTGTGAGGGTGAAATCATCTTTCTCTCCCTCTCTCTTAGGGCTTGAACCCAGGACTTTACACATGCTGAGCAAATGCTCCACTACTCATTCACATCCCTGACAATCACATTATTCTCAGTATTTGTATGAATCTACTTAGATTTAGGTTTGTTATATTAAAGTGGAATTATATGCCGGGTGGTGATGGCGCACACCTTTAGTCCCAGCACTCGGGAGGCAGAGGCAGGCGGATCTCTGTGAGTCCGAGGCCAGCCTGGTCTCCAAAGCGAGTTCCAGGAACGGCGCAAAACTGCACAGAGAAACCCTGTCTCGAAAAACCAAAAAAAAAAAAAAAAAAAAGAAAAAAGAAAAAGAAAAAGAAAAGAAAAAAAATAAATAAAGTGGAATTATAGTCATTCTGAAGTTTTCTTATGTTTCTTTCTCAAAAACAACACAAACATTCTCCCAGGGGATATGCAAAGACCCTATTCAACTTCATCTTCAGCTGAGCAACAGTCCTCCGCACAGGGGCAGGATGATGCATTCGAGGATTTAATAGAGACAAAACACTAGACTAGGGCCTCAGAATCTGCTAAAGTGAACATCACAAAGCACAGCCACATGGTTCTGGCTTTAGAGTTAAGCACAGAAGAAAGGAGTTATGGGATGAAGCTGCCGAGGCCAGACATGTGTCAGGGGTGTCCCCGAACAGAGGCCTAGCAGAGAGGCCATTGTGTGAAGCTGTGAGGGTGAAATCATCTTTCTCTCCCTCTCTCTTAGGGCTTGAACCCAGGACTTTACACATGCTGAGCAAATGCTCCACTACTCATTCACATCCCTGACAATCACATTATTCTCAGTATTTGTATGAATCTACTTAGATTTAGGTTTGTTATATTAAAGTGGAATTATATGCCGGGTGGTGATGGCGCACACCTTTAGTCCCAGCACTCGGGAGGCAGAGGCAGGCGGATCTCTGTGAGTCCGAGGCCAGCCTGGTCTCCAAAGCGAGTTCCAGGAACGGCGCAAAACTGCACAGAGAAACCCTGTCTCGAAAAACCAAAAAAAAAAAAAAAAAAAGAAAAAAGAAAAAGAAAAAGAAAAGAAAAAAAAATAAATAAAGTGGAATTATAGTCATTCTGAAGTTTTCTTATGTTTCTTTCTCAAAAACAACACAAACATTCTCCCATAAGTCAATTTATGACAGAGCAGGCACAAGAGGGCGATGTGGGGGAAAATGAACTTGAGTAAATGTGTGAGAACAACTGAGCAGCATGCAGAACACAAATAAAGTCAGAGCTCACATCACTCTATACTCAAAATGAATTTCCAACTAAATTAAAGATCTTTTTGTTTTGTTGGAGATGGGGTTTCATTATACAGCAAAGGCTTGCCTTGAACTCTCAATCCTTCTGCTTTAGGCCTTGAGAGTCAGTAAGGATTTAATAGAGACAAAACACTAGACTAGGGCCTCAGAATCTGCTAAAGTGAACATCACAAAGCACAGCCACATGGTTCTGGCTTTAGAGTTAAGCACAGAAGAAAGGAGTTATGGGATGAAGCTGCCGAGGCCAGACATGTGTCAGGGGTGTCCCCGAACAGAGGCCTAGCAGAGAGGCCATTGTGTGAAGCTGTGAGGGTGAAATCATCTTTCTCTCCCTCTCTCTTAGGGCTTGAACCCAGGACTTTACACATGCTGAGCAAATGCTCCACTACTCATTCACATCCCTGACAATCACATTATTCTCAGTATTTGTATGAATCTACTTAGATTTAGGTTTGTTATATTAAAGTGGAATTATATGCCGGGTGGTGATGGCGCACACCTTTAGTCCCAGCACTCGGGAGGCAGAGGCAGGCGGATCTCTGTGAGTCCGAGGCCAGCCTGGTCTCCAAAGCGAGTTCCAGGAACGGCGCAAAACTGCACAGAGAAACCCTGTCTCGAAAAACCAAAAAAAAAAAAAAAAAAGAAAAAAGAAAAAGAAAAAGAAAAGAAAAAAAATAAATAAAGTGGAATTATAGTCATTCTGAAGTTTTCTTATGTTTCTTTCTCAAAAACAACACAAACATTCTCCCAGGGGATATGCAAAGACCCTATTCAACTTCATCTTCAGCTGAGCAACAGTCCTCCGCACAGGGGCAGGATGATGCATTCGATCATTGTGTGGCTGATGGGCACCCAGGGAGCTTCCAGTTTTCTGCTATGGGAATAACAATAGAGTCACCGTGTCTGTATCCAGGTAACTTTATGGTCTGGAGTACTGGGACAAAAAGATTTGTTCTCTATGGTTCTAGAAAAGATTAGTATCAGATTATCTAAACACTTCCACAACATAAACTGAGAAATATATGTGCTAGTTAAGTCACATAGAAACAGACCCGAACAGCCACAAACATGAAAGAAATGCTTTATCACTCAGGGGAGAAAACTCCTAAACCTACAGTAAAATCCCATTTTATACCTGTCAAACTAACCTAAGTCTGATGGTAATACCAAAAGATAAAGTAGAAAGCAGGAAGTCCCCAACGCTGGTGCTGAGGTAACCACCAACACCGGACAAACAACTTGGCAATATCTCACAGCACTGAAGACACACAACATACTACCTGACAAGGCAGTTCAGCCTCTGTGAAGACGGCAAGGATAAACTTACACAGTAGTAGGAATGCTTTTACAAGAATGCACAGTCACATTTTGTTTACAAAAGTCAAAAACCCCAAACAGCCTAGAAGCTCACTATCAAGAAACTAGAGAAACCATAGAATAGTCATAATGAAATATTGTAAATATGGCTAAAGTAGGTAAATTAACTAGACATCAACCTGAACAAATATAAAAAACAATCCCAGTAAAAAAAAAACTTGGTACAGAATGGTATCATAAATATATGTGGCTTTAAGATATGCACGCTGATGCTATGTATTCCTTAGGGCTATGCACACAGACACCGAAATTATAAAGACAAACAGGAAGAATAAACATCAAGTCCTGGGTAATGCTAATTTCTTGGAAGGAATGGAGAATAGTGTAATCAGAGAGAATTGTAAGAATTTCAATTTCATCTGTAATATTTTTTATTGTCCATAAACACTCATTATTATCTATATTTCTGGAATGCTTGAAATAACTAATAAAAACCAGAAGAGAAGATTAAACCATTACTGAGTCAGGATTGCATCATTTAAAAACTGGCCAATGTCACTGCTGTGAACGTCCTCTAGTTTTCAATATTTAAAAACGTCTTTTTGGTCAGTCGACTTGAAGACAAACAGGTCCTTGCTAACAGTTTTTGGAGGAATGTATTGCTTTCTTGAGACAGGGACTTGTGTAGTCCAGGATGGCCTTGGATTCTCTGCGTTTCAGAACATAGCCTTGAACTTTTGCTTTTCCTCCCTCCAGCCTGCCAAGTGCTGGAACTGCAGGCATGTGTTACTATTATCTGGCTTTTCTAGAATAACTTTTCTTACTTAGAAATATATTTCACCAGAAATTTACCCACAGCATCAATGTCAGGATGTTACTTTTCTTCTACCAAACGAATCACAGAACAAAGAAATGCATTTCTATTCCACAAAAGCATGCCTACATGGAACTTCCTACTTTTAAAAAATTACAGCCATGTCATTTTTTAAACTGATTTCACATTCAATCATGAGGGAAAACTTGACTCAGTACTACTTGCTTTGTTGCCTCAAGTAACAAGTTCCTTTAGGCCTGCCTGTCACAAATCACAATGCATATCATTTTGAAGACTAACCAAATTCCACCTTACTTAAAATATAACATGGCATTCTTAATCAGATGTTTACAAACACTTGGTGGTATGTTAAAGGTCAGATTCTAAGTGGAATAGCCAGTGCAAACCTAGGACCCGGGTTCAATTTCCAGCACCCACACAGTGGCTCACAAGTGTCTGTAACTCCAGTCCCAGAGGATCCAATACCTACAGGCATCAGGCATGCAATGTGATGCAGACATCCACATAGACAAACCACACATCACAAAAAATTTAATTAATAAAAAAAATCTTCTGATGAGGATAACTTCTCCAGGATTTTGTATTGCTTTGTTTACTCTGGGTTTTTTGTTGTTGTTGTTGTTGTTGTTTAGTTTGTTTGTTTTTCAGTCAAGGCCTCATGTAGCTCAGGTTGACCCTAAACTTGCTATATGCTGAAGCTGGCCTTGAACTCTTGATCTTCCTGCTGTCTATCTCATGACTGCTGGATGGCATACTTATACCACCATACCCAGCTGGATACAAAAGAGGGGCTCTGGATTCACAAAGGTTATGATAGAATCATGGTAGGACTTATCTTTCAACAGGGAGCAGTTACCTACAGTCTATCTACAGCATTCACTGGAGCCTGGGTTGAGAAAGAGAGAAAGACTTCCGTCACTTAATACTACTCATTAGTCTGTCAAGAGCCTCACATCCACACTGACTGACTGCACTATCTCAGACTAAGAGCAACCTGGATGCATCAGGAGTGGACAGGAGGGACTGCCAGGCAAGCAGCTGCTATTCTGTGGAATTAGTCATCTTCTTGTCTCTAGGGACTGCTAGCCTCTAGCCTAGGTTTAATCACTACTACGTTGGAAGAGTCTGCTCAAAACAAAAACACTCCACCCAGAAGAACAAACAAGTTTTTTTCCACAATTATTGAGAGAGAGAGAGAGAGAGAGAGAGAGAGACAGACAGACAGACAGACAGACAGACAGACAGACACAAGCACATGTGTGGACTTCAGAGGACAACTTAGAGGGACCAGTTCTCTCCTTTCACTGTGCTGGCTCAGAGCTATTCTTAAACACACTCATCAATAAATAGCAAAATATTCTGAAAACAGGTAAGAAGTATATATATATATCCAAAGTTCTTGAAATAAAGCAAGAAGTTAACATTATCTACCTGTAGAGATCAGACTCCAAAAGTGTTAACTGGCGTGCAATTTCTATTGGATGAAGTGTCATAAGGTCAAACGTTTCAAACTGGCCGGGTCTACTGATATGCCATTCAATGGGTGGAGGTGGACTTTCAAAGGTGATATTATGGCTTATTCCATTTGCCTGAGCCTGCTTCTTCCTCTTGATGATCTTACCAATGGACACTACCCATTTCTTCATAGCTTTCCCTAGGGAAAAAACAAACAGAAATGCCCTTTACTTGACAAGCATGGCTGCAAACAGCAAGATTAATATGGCCTGGCTTCAGTATTTACAAGATATTTCATTCATATTTAAATGTATGATTTCAAAAACTCGAAAATAATCACAATACTATTGTTACACATAAAAACTGACCCCCAAAGCATTGTTTTCAGACAGACCCCCACTATGTAGTCCAAACACAGGCCTCAAACTCTCAATCTTGGGCTTCTATCTCCTCCTAATGCTGATGTAACAGACGTGTGCCACCACACGCAGCAAAGTGCTATCTTAATATCTTCAAATGCTTTTCTAGTATTCAAATTTAAGTTTTAAATGGCTTCATATAGTTGACTTGTTTTTAAAACAACATGAGGGGCTGGAAATATGGCACATTGGTTAGGAGTATTAACTGATCTTCCAGAGGGCTCAGGTTCAGTACCAAGCACCTCCAACAGTCTGTAATTCTGATTCCAGGGGGTCCAATGGTACACAAACATACATGTAGGCAAAACATCCATGCACACAAATAAATAAAATTTTAAAAAGGATACAAACATGACATTGAGTCAATATATCGTTTTCTTAATATATTGGTTTCCCTTTTAAATCACTCAAAATGCTTGTAATTTATTTGCTGAAGAAACTAAATTACTTATCCTGTGCTATTTGTTCTGTGGATTTTTCTAAGTTTGTATTTTTGTAATTTCATACCTATGGCATCATTTACCATGTTCATCTGCTAGATTTATCTATCCCCAGAGATACAGATACAGTCTAATTCTAATAAGATGTCTGTTTTTTTCTTTTTTTGTGATATTTACTAATTCTAAATCCCTAATTCATTTTTTAAAAGGTGTGTGTGTGTGTGTGTGTGTGTGTGTGTGTGTCTTTGCAGGTGCCCTTAGAGACCAGAAGAGGGTGTTGAATTCCCCTGGAACTAGTTAGAGGCAGTTATGAGCCATATGACAGGTCCTTTGCAAGAGCAATAAACACTCTTAGCCACTGAGCCATCTCTCTATCCCCTAGATCTATTATTTTCTTAGTACTGTGGAATGGTGATATACCATTACTTCTTCAATTACTAGGTGAACTACTTCTATTAAAAAAAAGTCAACTTTCCATCATGAAATATTTGGTTATTCTGAGGTATAATTTATACAGGGAAGAATTTAGAACATTCACACACACACACACACACACACACACACACACACACACACACACCTACCTACCTACCTCTAAATAAATAAAATATATACATTGTTAAAGCTTAGATTATGAACAGTTGACTGTTTTCATCAATAGCTTTGATACACTTTATTCCCAGAAGGTGGAAGAGGAACAAGAGTCCAAAATCATCCTTGCCTATATAAATGAATTCAAATCCAGCCTGGGACAGACAAGACCCTTTCTCAAACTCTAAAATGAGGGTCTGGAGAGATGGCTGAGCAGTTAGGAGCACTGGCTGCTCCTGCAGAGGACCCAGGTCTGGTTCTCAGCCCCAATGTGGCGGCTCATGACTGTAGTTGGTTCCAGAGGTCCCATGCACTCTTCTGACCACCACAGGCACCAGAAATGAATGAGATGCAGACACACATGCAGGCAAAATCACTCATATACATAACATTTTAAAAAAATGAATAAGAATAAAATTTAAACTTAGTATTATGAACAATTTTAAGATAAAAATACATATATCTTTGACATCTCAAAGTTAGGACATTCTCTATTTTAAATAAAATTTCCCTTAAAGAACAAGTAAGCTTAGGCTGGGCGGTGGTGGCACACGCCTTTAATCCCAGCACTCGGGAGGCAGAGTCAGGCGGATCTCTGTGAGTTCGAGGCCAGCCTGGGCTACCAAGTGAGCTCCAGGAAAGGCGCAAAACTACGCAGAGAAACCTTGTCTCGAAAAACCAAAAAAAAAAAAAATAAATAAAAGAACAAGTAAGCTCTTAGCTTCCTGGCTGCTGTGAGGTAAACAGCTTCATCTATTACATGCTCTTCTTTGCTATTCTTTCAAATCACAACCCCAGAATGATGGAGCCAGCCAAGCACAGACTGAAACCTTTGAATGAGCGAAAATATTCGTTTCCTGTTTTGTTTTGAAAAGAAGAGCAGGCAAGACATGGAGAAAGCTAGGCTTGCTATATTATTTTTAGGCAATGTCATATACTGTTAGTTAAAACAAATTTGTGCTTTATTTAATAATACACATTTTGGTAACGTCTATATGTTTAATTATGAAGTCCTGGAGTTTCATTTCATATGCTGTGATTCTGAAATTTTAAGTAGGAAACTCTTATTTTTCCAGTGCTGAAGGAATTTCCTGCAATACTTTCCCAGAAGTAAATACTATTTTTTCAATGTTAATGATCCAAAATAAAAGAACAAGATTAAGAAGAATAGGAGGAAAAAAATCATATTTTTTTAGTTGAAGGAATGGAACCTTGAGGTGACATAAAATGTTAAAATTTTTAAGATTTTTTTTTCATGAGTATGAGAGAGAGAGGGAGGGAGAGAGGGAAAGGAAGGAGGGAGGAAGGGAGAGGGGAGGAGAGAGAGAGGAGAGAGAGAGAGAGAGAGAGAGAGAGAGAGACAGACAGACAGAGAGAGAGAGACAGAGACAGAGACAGAGAGAGAGAGAGAGACAGAGGAGAGAGAATATATGAGAATACACCATGAGTGTTCAGGCGTTCCAGGGGTCAGAAGAGGGCATCAGATGGCTGGAGCTGGACTTCAGGCAACTCTGAGCAGCATGAAGGGGTGGTGGACACAGGGCTTAAGTCCTCTGAAACAGCAGCAAACTAGACCCTAAATATCTTAAATTTATTTTCAAAGTCTTTACTTCTTTAAAGAAGTATTCTCAAAAATTTCCAGAGGTCGCTGAGGATTGCTCCGTGGCAGAGTGCTTGCCTCGTGTTCGGAGGGCCTTGTGCTCAGTCTCCAACACTGACAGAGAGCAAAAACGGCAGACAAGAAATGCTTTGCGAAGGCGTTTGTTCTTTGAGCTTCTGGGACCTCAGAAGATGCTAAAAGCACACCAGAAATTTCAGAGCAGCTAGCAATTACCCTAATATTATTTCAGTTTTCTCAATGTGATAACTGGTTTATTTCTAAAGTAAACTCATGTATGACACAAGATTTAATCAAGCCTTTCAATATTATACCTCTTACACTTGACATGAAGGATTCTAGTCTTTCAAGCAATTCCAGGTCTCTTTCAAAGTCATAAAAATGATGTTCAACCCAGTGGCGAAAGACATTTAAGATCCTGATAAAATAGAGAGAAACATTTAGTGAAACCAAGTGTTCAATTAAGCTTCTTCCACTTTTCTACTGATGTAGTGAATTTCAAATGCAAAGACAATACAACACCAAACCTCTAATCTATACTAAATACTACACATGCTTCAAAAACATAAAAGAGGGCTGTTTTCAGTCTGTGCACTAAACTGATACTTTAAAGATGTTTTAAGGTATAAAACCTCATTTCTGTGCTTTATTACCCATTGATGTTAAGAAAAAGGACATTTTTCTTTATTCATAAGTGCTGTCATCCTCATCAGAAACAGGGTCTCTCACTGGACCTGGAACTCACAATTAAGCTAGGCAGGCTGGCCAGCACGGTCCCAGGATCCTCTGTTTCTACCTCTCCAGGGCTTGGATTACAGGCTCACACTGTCTCTGCCTCCCCAGGGCTCGGATCACAGGCTCACACTGTCTCTGCCTCCCCAGGGCTCGGATCACAGGCTCACACTGTCT